GTGGTGAGGACACGGTTTCCAGCCCACTCGCTGGCAGTACCACCTGCTGCATCTTCACACGGCGGAAGGGCCAACTAAGGCTTTGGGCACACATCTTTATGAGGGCTCTGTCCTGCTGATTTAACCATCTCCCAAGGCCCCCACCTCCTAATACCATTACCTTAGGGGTTAGGATTTCTTTTTTTTTTTTTTTTTTTTGACAGGCAGAGTTAGTGAAAGAGAGAGACAGAGAGAACGGTTTTCCTTCGGTTGGTTCACCCCCAAAATGGCCACTACAGCTGGAGCTGCGCTGATCCGAAGCCAGGAGCCAGGTGCCTCCTCCTGGTCTCTCATGTGGGTGCAGGGGCTCAAGCACCTGGGCCATCCTCCACTGCCTTCCCGGGCCACAGCAGAGAGCTGGACTGCAAGAGGAGCAACTGGGACTAGAACCTGGTGCCCATATGGGATGCTGGCGCCGCAGGTGGAGGATTAGCCAAGTGAGCCACGGCGCCAGCCCCAAGGGGTTAGGATTTCAACAAATTGGGAGAGAACACAAACATTGACACCATGGTAGGATTTCTCTGTTGGAGTCTCTAACTGCTCTTCTAAAAACTAGTTAGAGTTCATATTGTCTAATTCAGAATTCAAAAGGCATAAGAGAATCTATTCTTATGTAAATAGCACATCAAAATATACTTGTATTAAATTTATATGTAAAATATGCAAAATCATACAACTCACTTGATTAATCTCACAAATTCTTATCTTATTCTATAATAAACATATTACAATGTCATCTCTTGGTGTGGGTATTATGCTACAGCATGTTAAACCGCCACTTGGGACACCCACATCTCATATCAAAGTTCCCGTGTTCAATTCCAGCGACTCTGCTTCTGATCAGCTTTCTACCAGTGCACGTTGGAGACAACAAACACTGGCCGCAGTACTGAGCCCCCGCGATGTACAAGGATTGAAGCAGCAGACAGAACATTTCTTTGTTTCTCTCCTTTTCTATCAGTTTTTCAAATGAGTATGTTTTATTTTTTCAAAGATTTATTTTATTTGAGAGACAAGTTACAGAGAAAGGTAGAGAGAGAGAAAGAGAAAGAGAGAGGGAGAGATCTTCTTATCAACTGGTTCACTCCCCAAATGACTGCAATGGCCCTGGGCTGGGCCAGGCCAAAGCCAGGAGCCAGGAGCCTCTTCCCAGTTTCCCGCAGGGTGCAGGGTGCAGGGGCCCAAGGACTTGGTCCAGCCTCTGCTGCTTTCCCAGGCACACACATTAGCAGGGAGGCGGATTGGAAGTGGAACAGCCAGGACTTGAACCTTCACCCATATGGGATGCTGGCGCTGCAGGCTGGAGATTTAACCCACTCTGCCACAGCACCGGCCCCTCAAATAGATATTTTTTAAATGCCACCTCTTTAATTATTCATTTTCTTATTTTAGGAAATTTAAAATAAGGGGGAAATCTGCCATGAGTCAACCTAAACACTGGCAACAAACAGCATCATTGCTTGCAGTTTGCTTTTATTACCCTCAAGACAGCCAAACATACTTATGAGGAATAGGATGATAATAGTATCAGGACATACACATTCCTTAATATTCAATTAGCACAACTGGAAAGGAGCTGCTTGCTGTTAGGGCACTGACGTAATAGACAGTACTGAACTCAATCTAAGCCCCATAGATCATCCTCTGCAGCCAAGTCTGCAGTGACCTGGCCAAGAATTGAATTTGGTGGTGGACCTGAGATTAGAGAACCGAGCTCTTGACAAATGAAGGTGTGAGTGAAGTAATTGTGCTTGGTACAGAAGGAAGGAGCAGATCACATCCCTGACCATAATCTCTCCCTTAAGACCCTTGGCATGCTCTTTACAGCGCTCATGACTGATGCGTTCATTGGCGTCCTATCTTTTTAATGGACAAGCAAAAAACTGGATATGTTTATGTCATAAAACTCGCTATTTCCAAATAGGCATACATTAATCAAATTAGCTAAATCAAGTATATGCATTACCTCACATACCTATCACAGCAACAAAAGAGCATTGACTCAAACAGGCATCCATCTGAGCAGAGGCAAAGCATATCTATTCTGGGAACCCACTGACCTAAATTACAACCCTATGAGCAAGGCAGTAAACAACAACAACAACAACAACAAGTACTTGGTTCGCTCTCCGAACGAGGCAAGTCCTCAGACCTCTGCCCATGACACTGGCCCAGCCTCTGTAGAAGGAAGCCAGAGCACTCCCAGGCGAGAGAGGAAATTCAACTAACAGGCAAAAAGTGATACGCTAATCAAAATGACATTTATGGTTATTAAGAAACCATCTCCATTTCAGTAAGTCCTTCCAGTGGAATAAATCACTAGTCCTTGCACTTCTAATGAGCATGCTTACAATAACAGAACAATAATGAATTAACATTGTCCATTAATTCATAGTTTTCCTGGGTACTACCGCCTTCTAGAAACTGTAAGATGAATCCGTAACAATAAAGTCCCTAAAGACCAATGCATATGAAAGTGATATCCACAGGTCATGAAAAGAAAAGAATTATAGGTCTTCATTTCTACTTAACTCATAACAGCTTCTAAATATCCTTTCTAATCTTAATGAAATGCAAAAAAAAAAAAGCATGAACACTTTCACTTTAGACAGCCAGGTTGAAACTTGAATTAATCCAAATGCACTTAATAAATGAGCTCTTCCGTACTACAGAACATTATTCTTGTTAAGCCATTTGTCAAACTCGTATTCTGACATTTCACATTAGCATTCATCATGATTCCATAATACAGAATTATGTAGTTAGGAACTTAATGGCTATTTTGTTGTACGGATTTGGAGAACTATAAACCCGAACCTTGGTATTTATCCCAACGCTTTTAAGAATAAAGAATTTTTAAAAATGTATGCAGGCCAAAAGCAGGATAGTCACGCCTGACTTTCATCAACACAGTGCTTAAGAGTTTTTAGAATGGTTCATAATTATTGCACCGATTATATTGGCTGCCAAAGTGCCAAATACTGGGTGCTTTAATTTACCATATAATTGTGGGTTTTTCCTTTTTCATTTTTTTAGGATTTATTTATTTGAAAGGTAGAGTGACGGAGAAAGAGAGAGAGCAAGTGAACGAGGGCACAGGAGAGAGAATGAACCATCTTCCATCCACTGGTTCACTTCCCATATGCCTGCAACAGTTAGGGCTGGGTCAGGCCACAGTCAGAAGTCCAGAACTACACTTAGGTCTCTGCATGGGTGGCAGGAAGCTAAGCACCTGGGCCACCATCTGCTGCCTTCCCAGGTGAAGCAGCAGAAAGCTGGGTCAGAAGGGCAGCAGGCAGAACTGGCATTCCGATACGGGATGAGGATGTCCCAAGGGTGACTTCACCCATTGTGCCCCACTATTTCAATGTTGTTTTGCCTAATTCTGACATAATACTTGGCTTCAGAACATTGGAAATAGCAATCAAAGACATTAAATGAACATAAGGACCATTGAGTACGCTGAAATTGAGGTAGAGGAGAACCAAGTTCTCTAAACAAAAGTGCCTATAGAACAATAGGGCTTTATATTGTTTAAAAACATCTTCGATGTTGAGGGATGTTTCTTCCCTGCAGACAGAGAAAGAAAGGTGAGGAAAGAAGTCCCAGGTGCCATAACCCTTTCTAGGAGGCACCTGTACACTTGAACTTGTTACTGTGACACCATGGTAGAGTGCTTGCTTGTGTCCCCGTCCCTACCCACCCCCTCAGGTTTCAAAATAAAATCTCACTTTGAAGAAAAAATGGAAAGGGAAAATATCAGATATAGAATTATAACTAATTTTACTCAATGAAAACACAAATTCACAGACTAATACTTGTCAAATTTACTAGGGAAAAAAAACAAATTTGCTGAATGCTACACTATATGTTTTCAACTATAGTTTTACTGTCTAAACAAAATTTTAAGAATAAATTTAAGAATAAAATAGTTTTCTTAAAACTGAGAATGAAATCTATATCCAGTGGTTGTTTCAAACTTCCAGTCAAAACATCTTATACACATCTTAGTGAGCAAAGCCTATAGTAGTTACAAAACATGACAAATAGGTATTCTTCCAAATCATTCTGTTTTAAATACAATTCAAGCCTGGGGTTTCTGAGCAGGAAATCTGGGGGGAGGCCCAAGCATGTTTTTAAAATAAACTTTTTAAAAGGTAGGAAATTCTGAAACACAGATAGGCCTCAGAATCACCACTCTAGACTAACAGTTCTCCAAGTGTGGCCCCTGGATCAGCAATATCTAGGAATTTGGTCTAAATGGAACACTGAATTCGACACTCAGAGTTTGGGGGCAGGTGGGGAGGCAGGATGAAGGGACAGGGGCAGTGGGGTAGTGACTTTAATAAGCTCTAAAGGTGATTCTGGCACATGTCAAAGTTAGTATTGCTGTTTAACCCCAAATCCTCTGTCTTGTAATTACTAAAACAAAGCTACCAGACCTTCACCAGGCTTCCTTCTGTACTGTCTAAATTCAACACATGAATCAACAGCAGTGTGTCTGGAATGACACATCAAAGCTCTACGCACAGACCAAGTCCAATAGAAGAAAAATATTTAAATAATTTGAAAGAAAAAAATGCTTTTCTCTGAGTCACCTCACCCTGAGAGTGTAGAAGGAAGGAGTGCTTGACAAGCAGCCAAGAACCAGGTGTGATTAGGTCTGGATCTCCAGGAACAACTAGGATCGTGGCACTTGGAGAAGAAGAGTAAAAAAAATAACCCAGGTAAAGAACAGAGCCAGTTCAGAGGCTTACATCTCCATATTAACACATACAAGAAGCACAGAGATGATTAACATAGCCACACCGTGAGTAAAATGTTCAGAAAGGGAAGGAGATGGACTTGGAAAAAGGCAACAAATTGAGATGCACCTTGTAGGTCTGGGAAGTCTGGAGTTTATCTGGATATGTGGTATGTTATAAGTTGGAAACTGTCAAGATCAAACTCTTTCTTTTCAGGCCCTGGGAGATGACCCCAGCTGGAGCACAGGGGATGCAATAGGGAGACACTGCCGGAGGGTGCTTGAAATGGAAGGAGTTGGCTGAACCAGAGCAGTGGCTGGAGGAACGGATGGGAGGAACAATTTTGTGAGGCTCCTCTGAACTTTCGGAGATATCCTTTGTTACCAGCATGGGGCGAAAGAGCCAAATGGGACCTCAGGAAAGGTGAGACCCTTAACTCAGACAAACTTAGAATACAAACATAAACCCTATTCCATCCTGGACAGGCTGAAGTTCCAAAGTCTGGTAACAGAAAAACAAGTGATGTTTGGGGCAATAGGTAAGATGGGGCTTGAGATACCTGCACAACATATCACAGTGTCTGGGTTCAAGTCCCAGCTCCACTTCTGACTGCAGCTTCCTGTGAATGCACACCCTGGGAGGCAGGAGCTGAAGGCTCAAATACTTGGGCCCTGCCATCACTTGGGAAATCAGGATTGAGTCCCAGGCTGCTAGCTTTCGCCTGGCCCCATCCTGGCTCTTACAGGCATCTGAGGAATCAAACAGTGGATGGAAGATCTCTGTCTCTTTTTCTCTCTCCTCCCACCCCCCCAATTCTCCCTTTCAAATAAATTTTTTTCACAAAGCACTAAACAAAAAAGAATTATAGCTGTGGATCTTTATTTCATAAAGGAACTTCAGTGAAACTACTCTCAAAAGCTGAAAGAAAAATGCAAACAGTACTAATATTTTTAAACAATAATCGATGTGACACACTTATAAAATGGAATGACTATTTGAAATCAGAGGAGGTGAAATGGGCACATTCTCAGAGCCAGGAGAGAGCCACAAGATTTCTCCCTTTCAAGTTTCAGGTAGCCGCGTCTGGAGGAAGCCAACTTCCTTCCTGACTAGTAAGCATCACTGGGAAGATGACGACGCACAAGCAAAATCCAGGCCAGAGAAGGACAGCTTCTTCCTGGGCATAAGACTTCACACATGGTCCAAGAGCTAATATCTACAGCCCTACTAAATTGGGTTAGTGAGTACAGTTTACATTCAAGGCTAGAAAGTCAGCCTTCCCAACCCTGGAGAATGTTAGCAGCACCAATTTGGGATGTGGGAGGGGACAGGCCATCGAGAAAGCATACACTGCAGACTGTAGAGTAAAATACTTAATGAATAAATGAAGTGACTCTGTAACACACAAACTTAATTTTTTCATCTTCTCCTAGAGTACATATTTTCCATTTCATTCAACAAGAGATGTTCATAACAAGAATATTCATAAGAATATTCATAAGCCAGTTTCCTAAAAATAATTTATGAGGATCTTCAAAACGTTCCTGGAAAGTTCATGTTATGAAAAAAGTTTGCAAGAATTTCAAACTGTATCTTTTAACTCCATTTTCCCATTCACTGTTTGAAGTACTTTCATATTGGCTTCAGAAAAGCTTTACAGCATAGAGAAAACTGAACTATTACAAGGTTGGATGTTAAGACTATGAAACACTGAATTCCTTTTGGGGGCAGGTTCCTGCATTTTCTAGATTTCTAGAGGATAGATACCAAAAATAATAGCTTGATTACATCTGGGTAGTGCTACTATCATTCTTTGGTGGACATGTCTGGATTTTCTAGGCTTTCTGCAACAGAAATACTTTGTGTCTACAGTTTAAAATAAAAAGATAATTCCTAACAGAAAGAAAGCATACATTCTGGCTTCCAACTCTACTGCTCCTCCTTAGTTCCAGTTACTCTTGACCTACAGGGAGCGAACTGTCTAAACAGCAGCCATTGGGCCCCTTTAACACATAAAGTCCTTGGGCACTGTTTGATTTCTACTTGAAAGCTGGTTTACCCACATCACAAATCACAGTGCCATCACAAATCAGTTCATTTTCTGCTAATGCGCACCCTGGCAGACAGCTGAAGACAGTTCAAATACTTGGGTGCCTGCCACCCACCTGGGACACCTGGTTTGAGTTTTGGCCTCTTGGCTTTGGCCTGGTCCAGCCCCAGCTATTGCAGACATTTGGGGAGTAAACTAGCAGATGAACAACCTCTCCCCACACTACACTTCTGCCTTTCAAATAAAATAATTTAAAATGTAAAGCTAACCACGGGGTTCAACTAAACTTTAAAAATGTAGTCTACAGCATAATCAAGAAACCCACCCAGCAGGTCCCTATCTATTCATCTGATCTTATCTCCTACTTTCACTCCCATCCCCCAAACTCCCATCACTACCTCGGTAACCCTCCCACTCTGTCCAGCTACACCAATTTATATCCATCTCTAGAATCAAGCAACTGCAAAGGCGTCCCCAGAGGTCAAGTCCATGCCAGCTGCAGATCAAACGTCATCTCTTCAGAGAAGACTCTGTAGTATCTCTCTGCCTGATCGTCACTGCACCAAGAAATGCAGATACTCAGTCAGAGTGGACCGGCACCCTGGACAAGACGTCAGTTACGGCCTACACTCTCCATCTCTGCGCTACTTGGCAGAGAAAAGGCTAGGCTTTTCCTCACACACCAGAGTGCATCTGCACTCTCTGATTGTGCTCCTACCAGCCATAACTTAAGTCGCTGGCTGAGAGGAAAGCTAATTATGTCCTTGAAGAGGGCACAGAATCCCTGGAATTTTGAATATAAATGTCAATTCTAGAACTAATTTGAAAGGGTTGTCTTCTTGCCTAAACTCGAGTGAACAGTTCTAGCTCTGTACAGATACAATTATCCTCTCATTAAGTTGCTAAAATCAAAGCTAGGAGTCATCTAAGTAATAGCACATTTACTAAATTAAAATCAGAACTAAATAGAACTAAAAACTTTGCATGGCATACAAATATAGTTAAGCTCTTAGATTGTTAGGAAAAGTTGGATGGAAGGATAGGGTGAAAAATCCTACACTTTATGGTTATAATATAAACATGGGGCCTCCCACTGAAAGTATCCGGGATATTATTAGGGTCCTGGATTTGAGAACGAACAAATCATAGCTGGAGCAGTTCTAATCCTACATATTGGCTGAGTCCATCTCAAAAATGGTAGAAATAAAAAAGCAACAGGCATAGATTCTTAGTTAATGAAACAAAAAAACGGGAAAACACCACGTTGGAACTGAACTACTATCTGACTGTTTAATGAGGAGATGGAATTCATTTGATTTCAAGCTTTTCCTTCATAAACTACCTCACTCTGAGTTTATAAATCTCCCTTATTTTTTCTTTTACTTTAAAATTAGATAGACTGTTGTTTTTCCTTTTGTTAATCTCACTATTTTCTATCTGATATGGAAAAGACACCAACAAAGGGTAGCGGGGATGGGGAAGAGATGGGAGGAAGAATGGGCAGGCCCACCTCTCTTCTCACCTGTTACAGAGGAGCATGACTTGGCAATGGATTGGAAAGGAACAGTCAACTCCTTGCTATTCCAATGTAAAAAATAACACTTTTTCCCCTTTTTTGTGTTTCTAACTGTGATTTTCTAGGTGATTGCTGGTTGTGGTACTGAGCTTTGAAACAAATTAATGGCTAGCTAGGACAGAAATCATCACTGCTCATTAGGGATTTACAGACACCTTCTAGAAACCATTCCACAAAGAGACCAAGAAGCCACCCAGGTAAGGACAGGCAGGGTGGTTTGTCTAGGAACTTGAGGGTTTCCGAAAAGAGCACTATTATGTTAATTCCACCCAGGGACGCCTGCCTGCAGACCTCGGCTCTGCTGTTCACAGGTAAAGGTCAGAGGCCAGATCATCAACATCAAAGATCCCAGGCAGCTTTTGTGTTGCAACAGGACAGCTGTGAGCTGTGCCTGTGAGATGCAGCGGGTGCTTTTACACCAAAAAAGAGAGGAAGGAATGGATTTCTCCAAGCTCCCAGGCAAGTAAGGAGACTTTTAAGAACTTCATTCTTTTGGGGAAACAAAGCCTGTTGACTGAATGTGGTTGGGTTCTGCTCCCTACAGAACAAAAATAGGCATTTTTTTTAACTTTTATTTAGTAAATATAACTCTATACAAGCTTGTTCCTCACTTTTTCTCACTAGAAGCTGAGTCCTCGGCTCTGGTCCCTCTGTGCCTAGTCCTTAGCCTGGTTTTGTGAGAATGTGAGGACTGGTTCCGATCATTCTCCTTACGGACCCTTTTCATGGCTGCGACATATCTGCCTTGCCTTGGCCACCTATCTCAAATTCATGTCAGGGGCATGTCCGCAAGCTTGCATGGGTCCTCTGTGGAAAATAGCAAGTACTGTAGCGCAGAGTTGGAGTCATGGTTACAAAGCCGGTTTTGAACCATGCTTACATCTTGTCTATGAAGACACCGTCACTTATTCATTATTAAAGTCTGCACAAAGGAATACACTTGTGTTTATAGAAAGGCTTTAAAAGCCATGGTGTATCCAGACACTTCAACTTTTTTTTGATCAAGTATTTACCACCCAATTTCAAGTATTTCCTTGTCTTTCCCTACATCACCGCACAATCCGTGTCCCTTTTTTAGTTTTGATAAGGAAGAAAATCTGAGACATCTTGGAGGAATAAAACATAGATACTATTTTAAATGAGTTGTTTTCAATAAGTATATCTTTAAATATGAAATAAACAAGTCTAAAATCAAACTATGAAGAAGGCATTTTTCTGACCCATTGGTTACAATTGCTAAATATTAGGCCATACTTGTAGACCTACTATGGTCTTAGTAACTCGGGATTTACTTGGCAAAGTGCTCTTGTCTCTTAAAATCACCTGCCGAATTAATAGTAACTGGAACTGTAGTTATTACTGTATGGTATTTTAGATACTTCATCTTTGGCACCAGAGTTAAATGTTTTGCATAGGCTCTGGGTTTAAGTTCCTGAAGCCTCCGCTACTGTTTTTCCCTTTATGACACCTGAAGATGTTGACTGCACATTCTCCACCCAAAGTGTTCACGGCAAACACAAAATCACAATTTGAAATGGTTCTTTACTATTGAAATGATATCTCTATCAATAAGCTATCATGCCCAGCACCCAAAGAACACCAAAGGTCCTAATTTTCAACTGCTAAAATTTATGGTCTCCCATTTACCTTTGACTTCTGAGTTTTTTTTTTTTTTTTTCAAATAATCCAATAATCTGAGAATGAGTCAGTTTAGTGCTGATGCAGGCTAATTTTGAATTTTAAAATCAGTTATTTCTGTGCTGTACCAAATCACCTCAAAAAAGCAATCAATTATGA